CGAGAATCAACTGTATTTTCTGCAACAAATTCAGTCCACAAACATGCTTCACCACCAAGAATCTGATTTAATTGCTCTTTATTAAATAACCATAATTCATCATTCGAAATAGGATCAACTTTATAATGGAACGAAGATAATGAAAGATGATCAATATAGTAACCATGAGAAAGTAAACTTTTATAACCTTTGTTTATTGCTTGAATAAATGCTTTTCGACTTTTCCATGCTTGAATAACAGCATCTTTATCTACTGTTGAATTTTCATGAATTTCATCAAGAATTTCTTCCCATCCAATCATTATTTTTCCATATTTTTTAAGCATTTTTTCTATACGTTTATTAAAATAAGCTTGTAAACCATTTTTATTTTCAAGTTGATGTTCATTAATAAATTGTTGAATTGTTGATGATTGTGTCCATTGAGAACCTTCAACTTCATCACCACCAATATGAAAATATGGATCAGGAAATAATTTTGTCATTTCTTTAAAAAATTTATCAAGAAATATATATGTATTTTCTTTAGTTGGATCCATTGCAGGTTTCATTACACCCCATTGAGTTGCAACTTGATATGGACCTGGTTCAGTAGCTAATTCTGGATAACCAACAAACCAACTAAAATATATATCAGAACTAACTTTAAAATGTAGAAACGAAAAATTCTTATGCATTGATCAAAACTAAATATTTTTCAACTGGTCAAAAGTTTTTATCTAGATTCTGACTATGATGTATGTAGGCATGTACTGAGACTGAGTTGCTGACAAATATAAGATGTTTTTTCTCTAGTGAGAATCGTTGATATGCTTAGAAAATTTCATAGTAAACAAATCAGCTTATTCTCATCTAGATGTACGTACAAATAAATAGATCGATAACATTGAAAAAAGATCAAGTCGTAGTCTACACGNTTTTTCGTGAAATCTATATTCTTCAACAAGCAATTTCTAATTTTATGGAACCCACCCTCACCCACACCCTCACATTGTCCTCCCTATTATTAGACAATATTCACAAACTCATTCATTTCCAGCAACGGATCATAGAGATATGAAGGTTTTTTCATAAAAAAATTTATAATCCGACATTGGCCTAGGCGAATCTGAGATTGGCCTGAATCCGAGATTGGACGCTAGCATATATATATATACGGCAACAGTCAAAATGGATGAAATCATAAATAATTATAATGATATTGCTCACTAATTGAAATAGTTACAAATTGATGCTGAAATAAAAACTATGATAAGAAAAAAAAAACATGACCTCACTATTACTATACAAAGCACATATCTTTGCTTGCTTCTGGATTTGTGTCTATGAGGGATATGGAAGAGGAGTCGCAAAACTTCAACTTATACTCACTATTTTCTTGGAAAATACATGCGAGCTCCACAAAATATAAAAATTTTATCAATAAATATATTTTCTTCTTTATTAAACTCCAATTAGTGAATAGATGACAGATCAGCAATTTTTTAAAAGGGAAGCGCTCTTTCTATAAATCTCATCATATTTTTTACCAACAACTCTAATGATTTATATCGATATTGTCTCTTCAAAAGAACAGTTCTCTCTAGATGCAATTGAAATATATGATACACTATTCAACATGTTCATACGTAACGCACTGACACATTTTTAACCTTCGGATTGTCATAACTCACAGCTTAATATGACGAAAAACTGAAACTTATACTGTAGCAACATATACCCAAATTCTAATGCCACTATAATTATGATTCTATTTTTCCACAAAAAAATGCTTGATTTTAGCTGATGATTACTATTTACTTTTGCTGTGATTCGAAAAAATGATATCTATCGATGCAGACTATATAAAAACGTAAAACTTATTTCGACTATTTTTAGTTAAACCGACTGTAATAAGCCTTTAATTACCGACAAAAGATACACATACGTGAAGTAGAGTGACTTTACACCACACATATTTTCGTTTCTTAACGCAAGAGTATAATATGAGCCGTGAAAAATAAATGATCATGTTGAAAGCTTCTATTCTTTGATGTTTGCTTTTTCGCAAATGTATCGAAAAATAATATGCATACATTAGTTTTATGTAATGATAAAGCTTTGATACAAATATGTGTCGCTGGTTATCAACAAGCTAATACATCAATTCAATGGACTCGTAGTACATTGAATAAATTTAAAGACCCAGACATCATTGTACTTGTCTAAACGTATTAAAATCAATTGAATACATATATCATATCTCGCATATTATCTATTTTGTATTCTTTATTTGTTCTTTTTTTCTTTTTGTAATAAATACTAAATGATATATGTATATTCTGTTCTTTTTATTATTTATTTTTCAACGGCAAACATCCAGCATCGAACAAAAACAACAATAGAAAAACATCATATTTTATTTCATAGGGTTTTTTTTGTTTAATATGATGTTAGAATATTGTTGATATCTAATGAATTTTGCCGGTGAGCCGTCGATCACGTTCTTCTGCAACACTTAAACGTAAGCCTTTGCCAGCTGGTAATGAGACCCAAGATTTTTGACCTTTACCAATGACAAATACATAAGCCAAACTAAAAAACACAAAACGAATATTTCATTTTATGAAAAAAAAACTTAATTCGTACCGAGTAGCAAATGTATGTCCATTTGCATCTTTAACATGAACAATATCAAATGAACCTGGATGACGTTCACGAGATTGAATAATACCAACACGACCTAAGTTGTGTCCACCGGTAATCATAACAATGTTACCTAAGTAAGAAAAAAAAAAAAGAAATTTTCCTCAATAAAAAAAAGAAATTTCTTTTTCTTAAGAAAATACCTGTATCAAATTTAATATGTTCTTGAATTTTTCCTGTAGCAATATCAATTTGTACAGTGTCATTTGCTTTAATATGTGGATTCGGATAACGAACTGTTCGTGCGTCATGTGTTATCAAATATGGTACTTTCTTTGGACCCATACATAATGCTTTAACTTTGCATAATTTATACTAAATAAATATGTAAAGTTTTTAACTTTTGATTTATCTTTCAGATACTGAAAAATCGTGATAGTTTGGTTTGTATTTTGTTTTTAGACATGCAAATGTAATTTAAAATCAGTTTCATTCAATTAGAGATAGAGAATTGTGTACATTCATATATTTGTTTCAGATTAGAATATGACTTAGAGACCTACAGAGTAGAGGTAAGATAAGACATCTCGAATTCGAAATTAAAGCAAAAGTTTTTTTTTTTTCTGATATACTTAGACAATGTTTTTGAAGTGAAAGTTAGACTAAAATAAAATCAGAAAAGTCTATAAAAATTGAAATAGGCCGAAACCATTTAATCTCGATAGTCTTAATATTTATTCGAATTTTATTTTTATTTCTTTGTTGAGAAAATTGATTTCTTTCAATATGACAGCAAAAAACAATGAATATGAATTTGTATTCTAAGATTTCCATCTTTAAACTTTTAATTCTCGAAGAAACAAATATCATATTCGAAGTCAGCGTAAAAATCTCCATCGAATAGTTACATTCAAAACTTAAAATTAATTTTCGTCAAATTTCGACCTTAGATGATGTACAGATCCGAGCATTCGAAAATAACAGTAGGATGAGCGTACGGACCGAACTTTGACGAAAAAAAGAACTTTAAGTATTGAATATATTATTCGATGCAGATTTCTACGCTGATTCTGAATATGATATTCGTTTCCTTGAGGACTGAAGTTCTGATGAAAAAAAATCTTAGAATAGAAATCATTATATATTACTTTTTACTGTCATATTGAAAAAAAAACGTTATTTTTATAGGATATTTTTAGTTTATATTTTAGTCTAACTTTTACTAAGAACACAACGACTGAATATGTCAAAAAATGTTTTTATTTTATTTATTGTTTTAATACATTTTCAAATATTTCATTTACTATTCTCCTTATAATTTGTTTAATTATGCTTTCATTTTAAAATCCAATATATTCTCTAAATCCATAGAAAATTTCAAGACTATTACATAATATGACTATGTTGCTAAATAATGCCGTTTGTCTTCAAACCTATGGCTCGATCATTACATACAATACTTACTTTAGCTTCTTCAGGTGTTATACGATGAACACAAAATCGACCTTTAACGTCATAAATCAAACGAAAATGTTCGCCTGTTTTTTCAATAGTAATAACATCTATTTAAAAAACCACAATCTTTATCTTGACAACAAATATTCTTTTTCTTTTTAAGATAACAAACCCATAAAGCCAGCAGGAAAAAGAAAATCCGTTCGCACACGTCCATCGATTTGAATAAGACGTTGTTTACAAATTTTTTTAGCTTCAACGTATGTTAAAGCATATTTCAATCGATTACGTAAAAAGATAATTAATGGTAAACATTCACGTGTTTTATGTGGACCAGATGAAGGTTTTGGTGCAAAAACGCCACCCAATTTATCAAGCATCCAATGTTTAGGTGCATGAAGTCGTTTTAAATGCTTACGAATACCACGATACTGAAATATATAAATATATAAAGATTTGTTTTCGAAATGAATTAATTCATTAATCTTACGCCCATGTTTTTTTCTTATTGTTGTTGTCAATAAAGATCAAGATCTTTCTTACGATCTGAAAAAAAATTCAAAGCAAAGTAAAAACATGGAAAATCAGTATTTTATGTAAAAATTCGAAGTGAATATGTAAACCAATCAATGATTGTTTAATTAAACCAAACATTGTTCGATGAATTTATTGCCTTTTTTTATATTATTAAATAAACCTATTCTATTAAAATAATTCAAGTAAAGAAATAATAAATTTTATTTTAATTAATATCATTGTATTTTTTTCAAATGTATAAATGTGTTATATAGGTGTTAATATAGAGGTTAGAATGAATAAAAAGTCAATATGGTTGTTTTGTTCTTTCCTTTCATTTTCTTTTGAATTGATAGTTATTAAATGTACATACATATATATACGCACATATATATATAAAATAGATGTCTGGAGGTGGTAAGTTAACTAGATTCTTAAATATTTCGTCTATCGTTTATATTAATTTTCTAGTTGAACTTGATCTTGTTTGTGGAGAAAGTGATGCCGATGAATTTTCATCATCATCAAGTATGTATATTACATTGTTAAATTCAATATCAATCGATAGATCAACTGATAAATACTTGTCATCAATTGATAGCTCATGATCACTCTATTTATGAAAAGGTTTTAAGCAGTAACAAATTTGTCAAAAGTTATTGAAATGAGTAATTTTTATGAATTGTTTAACACAACAAAATATTTGACAATTATAAATTTTTGATTTTCAATATGAAAGCTTTTACTCGTCTCTAATAGGAAAAAAGAGATGATCTATACAAGAGTTTTTCTTCTTTTCTGGCATATTAGGATTGTAGAAAGATAAGATCTTTTATTTCGTTTTGTAAAATTTTCATATACTGACGTGACAATTGTTAATGTCTATATTTCGTTACGTAATCAAAACTGCGTTTGAATGAAGCGAGCGAGGCAAAAAGTGTACACTTATTAATATTTCGAAATGCACAACTTGATATGAACATGAGAAAATTATTTTTTATCACACGTGATAATAATCTAATGAAATTTCTCAACGTACTCACCCTTCAATAAAGTTCAATCTATTGCAGAGGTTTGAACTATAAGGATATTATTTCATTTATTAAAATTATATGTATCAAGAAAAAAGTTATTTGTTATTCGAGTTACATTCTGACTTGTTGCCATAGAAATCTTATTGAAGTGTTCAATTAAAACCAATCATGACATAAGCAAATCATAGAACATAAAATTTAAAAAAACAGCTGAATCATTATTTAATTAATATTCAAATCAAATATTTATAAAAGATAAAAAAAAAGATTGTGATGCAATCATGTCCTTTTAATAAATATATTTCATAATATAACAATGATTTTAATTATAAATTTTAGAATCCAAACAAACTCGAAATGTATTCATTGAAGAAGACCAAGTATGACAGGAAGAAAAGAAAAAGGACGCTTATATAACCTTCTAGATAACTTCTTCTTTTTTTTTTTTCATTAGGTATTTGCAAATGATGGTGTTGATGATGATGATGAAATCGCAATAATAGAACCAGTAAATTCTAAAACATCAGATGAAAATCTAATAACTCAAACATCAATTGAAAATGATTATTCAAATACAATTGAAACTATTTTCAGTGATAAAACGAAAGACAATTCTGATTATAATGGTAAACGTCGAAAAACTGAAAGTATTTCTTCCTCTTCATCTTCCGCCAGTGCAACGAATTCTAGTAGCAGCAGCAGCAGCAACAGTTCCAATCATCAGTCTATACACGGTAGTTGCTTCTTAGCAAAGATAATAGATATTCATTTACTAATACTAATATCAAAACCTGTTTTTATTGACAAACAGAACAAATATATGTATAGCATATGAAAATTTTTCTTTTTATAAATAGATTTAAATGAAGAACTGATTCAAAACGAATCAAATTGTATTGAAATGGACCCTTCCAGTGGTAGAACAAAACACGAAAATGATTCTAATGGAAATGAACAGCGTAAAGCATCAAATGCACCAACATTAATGATAACAGTGAAAAATGAAATGGCTCAACCAATTCGTGAACAGACAATTCCAACAACTGGTAAAATAAAAACTTAATGAGAATTCTTCAAAGATAAAGAGAAGAGGAGAAGAATTTTTTTGAATTGAGTAAACAATGGCAAAATACAAGAAAATTGTAGCAAAAAACAATTAACATTTATTTAACCTTTTGACTATTGCCGACGCACATATGCATCATGAACTTTATCAGTGTCTAAAGTTAATGCAATCAGTCGCGGTGCATATTTTTTAGCTTCATTTCCATAGAAATAAGCATCAGAAAGCTGAAGCTTGTGATACAATTATGAAACAATTGTATGTTCTAGAGTGGTGCCTTAAAAACAAAAGAGGGTATGCATAGAGAACAGTCAGTTTGTTGTACATATGTATATCTTTTGTTCTCTTTCTTTTTATTCGAGAACTCATTGAAAAGCGCGTCTCAAAGCGGTCAAATATAGGCAAACCATTGAGTACTCATCCATTGCGATTGACCGTCAGACTTCTTGAAGATGTTATGCTTGCAGCAATACAGAATGGAGCAATATGCACTACCAGTATAGTCTATCGAATGCAATGTTACGCTGTGTATTATCGATTGCTTCACAGTTTTTCATATCTCACAGAAGATTTAACGTTATCTTGTATAAATCTGTGAGATTATATCAAAAATGAACAACTGTATTGATTTTCTCAAGAGATTTTTTTGTTCATTCTTATAGCGATTGCGAAAAGGGTTAAGAAAAATGTACTGATTTTCTTAGATTGTTTATATAGTTAACTGAATAATATGATCAGTGAGATTCAATAAAAACTTTCGACTATTTGCTAGATTTATCAGAAAGAGTATGAAAGTGAAAAAAGTTCTTTTTATCTTCTGATGAACTGTTAATCATCTCGAACGATAAAGAAATTTACCTATAATTATTTTAGATTCTACTGAAACTGCTACACTTCGACATATATTCAGTGATGCTGCTTATTATTTAATTAAAAGTGTTAATGAAGAAAATATTGGATTGGCTAAAGCTAAAGTAAAGTATAGATTTATATATGTATATTTGGCATATATTTGAATAATTAAGGGTGTATGGTCAACACCACCAGCAAATGAACATAAACTAAATCGAGCTTTTCGAGTAAATATATATTTATAAAAGATAATATTTCTTATATTTGTTTTATTTAGGATCATCGAAATGTAATTTTAATTTTTTCTGTAGCTGAAAGTAAAGCGTTTCAAGGTTTTGCTCGTATGTCATGTGAAGCACGTCATGATAGTCAGCCTGTTAATTGGGTATTACCACCCGGCATGAGTAATCGTGCTTTTTCAGGTGTTATTTATATTGATTGGATAACTTGGTATGTAATTATCTATTATTTTATTTCCAATATATATATTTTATCTATTTTAAATTTCATTTAACATATACTTTATTTTTAGTCGAAGTTTACCATTTAGTAAAACATCACATTTGTTCAATTCATGGAATGAGAACAAACCGGTTAAAATAGGACGTGATGGTCAGGTAGTAGAATTAGATTATAATAACGATAGAAATGTCCTTCAACTGATAAATCACTTTTGAATCAAGATTATGTGTACTATGTAGACATAAATGAGCTAGAAATACTTTGAAAGGAGTTCATGTCCTTAGTTTATAGTTGCATTTGTAAGGTATTTTTTAAATGAACGTCGTACTTCCCCTTCAGAAAACTCGATTTTCGAATTTCGACTTTGCATAGAGACAAGCATTATTGAGAGTAGTTTGCTGTGAGTGTTTCAACTATTGTTGTTGTTTCTATCTTAAGATACAACTATGGTAAAAGTGTGTCGTTTAAATCACTCGCATATAATAGCAGATTTCATTTTCTTATTTCAGGATAGAAGCAAATCGAAAAATCTGAAACTTTCACAATAAATTACTCTTGTTAAGGATGTATTTTTATTTTTGGCCATTCTTGGCTCTCAAAGTGAGTACAACGGATCTGCATGAAGCTTTTATCATAGATAGAGCACTTAAAATAATTAGACACAAGTTCGAGAAGAAAAATTTTAAAGGAGTTTTTCGAGAAAATCTCGGTTTTCATAGGAGTTGCTTACGATCTTCGTCTCACTTTGTTCGATCGGGCTGAAAGTTTTGTTTTCTTGAAATTTCTTAGACTGTATCTCAGGTGATTTTTAGCTTTTTCAGACATCAGGATTTCTTTTCTTTTTTATGAGAGAATTACTTAAAGGTTCGTATCTAAAACCGTGGCGATGGTATTTAAGACTTAATAGATCTGGTGGAGCTGGGCAAGTACAGACTTTTTCGAGCACAAATACGAATAACAACTCTCCGAAAACACTATACAAATCGGTCTGCGTGATCTCTACAGAATTAAAATACGAAATACGATGTAGTTACTCGTGTTATTCAGAAAGAATTTTGTTTGAATCTATCTATTTTGCTGCTCATTTATCACCCATACTTTTACTTATTCCTCTTGCAGTGGAATCAAAAAGTAGTTCTTATATTGTGATATGGCGTTCTTGATGTGCAGTCTTTGACCATGTTTCACGAACGCTTCACGCTTGGTGACAGAGCCTTATAGTCTCTGTCACGATCTGTGATGGGATTCCAAGGGGTGTATCACATTTTATCAAGAGATCATTAATGAGTTATTGATGAAATATGAATGATCCATTCATTAGATATTAGTTCATTAAGTAGTCAGTTAATTAATTAAAATGTCTGTCGCAGTAATTGGACAGAGAGTATAGCGGGAGTGTATCATAGATACAGACAGTCTCGAGTTTAGACGATAAGTACCACTGCGGATCTAAAAATGTCAGACCCAATCGGATCGGTTGATCTCCTAGTAATAAGCCGATCGACCGGTAAATGCTGGTTTACATGTAATAGATCAATTCTTACAATAAAATTTTGCTTTATAGTGAACTCTCGCCAGTTATTAATCCAGATCACGAATCTGAAATACCTGAACAATTGTTTGGTAATATTCAACAAATAGCTTTCTATTAAAAAATAATAGTAATCGAAACATCAATGTATTATATTTCATTTCATCACATGATCACAATGCATTTGATTATTTTCGACACTTTAATCTTAAAACATTGTATCATTTCACTATTGATAATAATAATAATAATAATATATTGATATTTCGATTGTTTTCATTGTTAAGAAAAACCACATATTCAGTTTTAGCACATAAATTTTTAGGATAGTTTAGATTCATGAGCTAAGTTGGTAACGTGTAAGAGTTCTCTCGGAAACAAAACTTCATTGTAAGAATCAGTCTGTTACAGATAAAGCAGTATTTAACCATAGACCGCTCTGTTGTTCGTAACAGTTCCATCTATGGAGTGTATCTAACTTTCTACCCTTTAAACTTCAGTACCCTTTTCAAACTGTGTTTCATAAAAAGGAGTAGAAAAATAAGCCTTTGCTCTAAGAACAACTTTTCATAAACTCTGATTTGAATTTATGAAAGTGCAACGTATAATAAACCATTTTTATCTTGTATGAAAACCTTTCATATACTCTTTCATAATTTCTTCGACAGGATTATGAAAGTGTTAACAATAGAAACAACACCAACAAACAGAAAGTTCTTCAAAATTACAGATTTTATTAAATATAAAACGGAGAAAGCAAAAAAAAAGACCGATGGATTACGTCAATATCAATCGTATATATAGTATTGCTAATGGAACATGAGTAAATTAATCAAGAGAAAAGTGAAAATAATACGGCAGCTATTCTAGGACTTTCTATCGTATGAATGTTCAAATATATATTTGTATGGATCGAAGATAAGGTGTCAGCAGTTCGCTTCACTTTTGAACAATACACAACAGGTTAAGTTTTTCATAAAAAAAGCTGTGCACGTCTAAATTCATCTCTGGAGAATACTTCCAAGTGTCTGTGGTCAAAATTTCAGCCTGATCGGACAATCTTAGACGAAGACCGTAAACAGACACAATATGTTCCGATGGAAAAATATGATATTCCTGAGAAAACTGCGAAAATATTGTTAAAAATTTTATGAGTATCCGTTTTATTCTCTCCGAGAATCAGAAGCAGCTAAAAAGAAGAGAAGGTATGCCCTCAAGGTGTATCTCTATGCGAAGTTTCAAGTTGAAATTTGAAAATCAATTTTTCTGGTCTTCTTGAAAGGTATCACGGCATTGATTTAAAAAGTAATGTAAAAGTGCAGCAATAATCCAAAGGCACGAACTCTCTTCAAGGTATTCTTAACTCATTTGAATCTACATAATGCACATAATCTTGTTTCCAAAGCAATTTATCAGTTGAAAGACTTCTCACGTAATATTTATTTTTATATATTAATTTAAATATTTCAAGGAAATTGAACCACGTTGTGCTGAAGCATTATGTCGTTTATTTCCATCCGATCCAACCATTGATATAATGTCAATAGCAACAAAAGCGAAAAATAATAAAAAGCGTTGTTCATCTCGATCGCAATCACGTTCACCATTATCGACAAATGTTTCTACATTACTACCGATAGAAACTTCTTCATCATTAATAATTAAACGTCAAATATCAAAAGATCGTAATCATCATCCGTTATCAAATAATAATAACAATAATAATAATAATAAACATCGACCAGCATCATCAGATCTTTCATCTCGTCATCCACCAAATCATTATCGTCATCGATCACCTTCAAATCATATTCGTCATAGGTCAGACGTGACTCTTTATTTAATAATTATTCGTCTTACAAATTTGACTATCATATTCTCTACTAATCTTATTCACTTCAGAACTTTTAAAAAAGGTGTTGGTTGATAGAGGTATTCTTTCTTTTTCTCAAACATCATTGGTCACATATATCCATATATCTAACATCCAAATATTACGATGCGTATGTACAATATGAAGCCGGCTTTATGAACTTTGAAAAAAAGCTGGAAGCAAAGCATTTTACATATCTATTCATCGAAGAACTTTATGATTATTTTAAAAAGGACTATGTCTGTTTAACAGACTGTTATATATATATATATATATTGTTATTTTTTATAAGCAAAAAAAATAACAACAAATACTACTGTTACCTACTCCCAACCCATTTTATAAACAAAAAAAAAAAAGAAATTACTTCTTCGTTTACCTTGAGAATTAGATTAGACGATAATATGAAAAAGGAAAATGAGTTTTCTTATATGCATGCATAGACAGAAGAAAATCAAACGAGATAAATCATAGAGAGAGAAAAAACAAGAGATTGCTTTGTTATGTCGTTTTTTTTGTTAATCTTAATTTAGACATCAACAATCAAGAAGTCGAGAACATGAAACAAAAGATATATCACGAAAACGACGGCGATCAAGTATGTTTTATTTTCTTGTTATTTTATATTAGAATAGAAGAAGAAAAAAGAAAATTATTGTTGAGTTCTGTTCAATCATATGATAGGACTTAAAAGTCCTATTCATCAATTCTTGATATTATTCTAAAAATTTTTTAATTATGCATTACATGAATTATATCATTTATATTCTCTCGTCTATTAGGATCATCACATTCCGATCGTGGTGGTAACAATAGTTCAAATCGAAAACATTTACATCGTAATAATAATGATCAGTCATCATACAATAATACTAACAAAACGATGACAAAGATTATTAGTAGTGGAGTAATATAAAAACTAGAAACATTATTTTTCTTTGATTATTAATATTCATATAATCTATTCTGGTTTAGACATATGAAGAATATATGAATCATTTAGCTGCAACTCATGCACAATATGGTGGATTTAGTGCGGCTATGTTTCCATCTGGAGTAAGTCTCATACAAGTAGCATGAAGTTTATTTTATATTGATTATAACATCGGAGCGACTTATAAACATATAGACCATTCAAATGTCATCCTAGGAAAACACATAGTTTCCAATCTTGGTCTCATTTTCAAAGAAATACTAGATTATGAATGCCATTTTTCATTGGGAATGATGAACACAGATTTTCGACTTTTGAAAAAGGAGTAAACTTTTTATTAATACTATAGTATGAACAAATAATCTGCCAAACTTATTGACGGCTAGTGCAATCAGAGGAAATCAATTTCAATCGTACATACACTCACAAGGAAATCATTCAAAGTGATACCTGCTGTTTGAACTCATATTGAGCTCACTAGGAGGTATCGGTAAGACAAGAACAAAATCTGAAAGGATTCCTCTCAAGAGAGAAAAGTGCTACTTCAGTAGTACCTCGAAGTAATGGAGTTCAGCTTCTTTGCCCTCTGAAGTTAAAAAATAGAATTTCAATGTGAAATTATATCAAGAGAGAAAAAGAGAGATTGCAATGCTCATATGTCAAGATATTGAATTTCTAAAAACCAATCGCTTGTTATTGGTATTATACAAAAATTGAGTTTACTTGAAAATTCAATACCACTAAAAAAAAAAATTCTTTTCAGTGGAGACTTTCAGGATAGTCTATGAATCATTAAATTTATCTATAAGTAAAACTTTACATCAAATTTCTTCTTTTTTGATGTTCTGGTATTGACCAAAAGATGAATCGAAGACTGACTAAAACCATCTAAACTCGACTGTAAAAACTCATAGAAAAGAACTATTTTAGACTTTTGCCAATTTTGTCAAGACGCCCTTATATAATCAAACAGTGGGTAGTTCTGTCATCAACTATTTTATATTTATCTTCTTAGGGTTATCCTATGGCTTATGATCCAGCTGCTTTTTATCCAGTAGGATATGATCATCGTGGTATGCCAATATCAATGCATGCAGGAGGTTATGAAATTCCAATGGATATGTATTATCCTCAACCGACCACTTCGATGCCATCTCGTTCTCGAAATTTAACTGATGTAAATGAAAATATTCTTATCAAAAAAAAGAAAAAAAAATATATATATATGGTTTATCTTTTTTTAATTAGTATGAACAAGAAATCAATGCATTTCTTCGTCATACAACAGCCTCGTCTTCTTATCAAAATAATGATAAGAATTTAAAATCTCATCGAAGTCATCATCATCATCGAAATGAAGATAACTATCATTATAAACCTTCATCTCGACATCGTTCAAAATCACGTGAACATCGTCATTAATTTGAAGAAGAAAAAAACTCTTGTCTTTTTTCTATTTTGTTTTTGTTTTTTCAACAATTTGAACAATCCTGTTTTTTTTCTTTCTTTCTTTCTTTTTGTGTGCACTCTTTTATACATTCATTTCGGTTCTTCTTCTTTTTCTGTTTTGTCGTATGCAAAAAGAGAAAAATACCTGTTTTCATTAGTTTTTTTCTTTGCTTGTATGTATAACAAAGAAAGACCGATAATTATTTGCGTGTGTGTGTGTGTGTATTTGGTCTATGATCTCTTTCTCGCATGTTGTTTTTATGTATTCATTCACATTGCACATTCAGTTTACTCTGTGATATATGGGAAAAAAAAATCTAGTTTGTTGCTTTTATTTCAACACCTATACAAAACGTATATGTATATATATATAATATAAACAAGAGTAAAAAGAAAGACCGATATGTTTTATCTTAGTTAAAAGAGAGAAAAAAAAATCAAACACGATTGATTTATCATATCGTTGTTTTAATTTTTTTCGGAACAGTTAAACGTATTGGTTGTGATTGATTGATATGAGTTGATTTAATATTTCCAGATACTTTTATATGATTTAATGATTTTATATTAGAATTTGAATTATCTTGATGATTAAATAATTCAAGTAAATTTGTATGTGCTTGTGATCGTTTAATAAAAAATAGAGTTAATAGAATACCAATAATAAAAATACTAAGAAAACTAATACCAATAATAGTTATTTGATATCGATGAATATGTTCGGTTTTTATTGGTATCATACGTCGTTTTCGTTGATGATTACAATGAATATCATGAAAATTTTTTGAACAATAAATACATTGTTGAGTACGAATATAAACAAGTATTTGTGTTGGACATTGATCTTTATTATTTATATCAAGTTGAATTAATAATGGTTGATTTGTTTTATTTAAAGAAAAGATTGGTAAACAAATTGATCCTTTCCAATTATGTTGACATATATCGTTTGTTTGATATAATGTATAAGTAATTAATTTCGAATGAATATTAGTTAGGATATAAAGAAAAAGAAAAACGAAAGTAAAAAGCATTTTATTCAAATTAAAATTATAAGAAAAGAATATATTTAGCTTAATTATAATCCATAACAACAAGAGAAATTTTTTCATAGAATCATTTTCTTAAATATATTTTAGTTGTGTTAAAAAACATAAATGAATATTGGAATACATAAACAATTAATTTTTATTTTTCTTCTTCATACAAAAACTAATTAAGAGATGGAACGAAAGTTTATAGACAAAATATTTAACTATTTTTCGCAAAATTTAAATGTATTGGTAGTGTATTAGATTCAGAATATTTGCTTAGACTTTTTTTGTGGCTATTGATATATAAGTAAATATTGTAAGCACTCAAAAAGATCTTCTGAAGAGGCAAAAATCTTATTTTTTTTAAACAACTCTCTTTTCTGTAGACATCAAATAAGCTCTGTAAATATATAGTACTTGAAGGTAATCTCTACTCAATGAAATAACGAGAGAATGGAGAATTTTGGTTCGAGGCAGTGGGGTCCGCCTCTGAAAATTTTTCATCCAACGAACTCTAGTTTTGGTTAATCTGCTAAAAAATAACAGAATTGTAACGGACGATCTTTTTATTCAAATACACCGCTTTGTAGAACATTATTTTCTGTATCGTCGAATATATTAGATAAAATTTTGTAGCATATCTGAAACAAGTTTCATTTGACGTTTTTTATCTCCAAAACAAAAATGTTTTAGTCGTTTCACGATTGACTTATAGCTCAATAGTCATAGAAAAATTGTAATTGTAAGTTCTGAAAGAGCAGAATATTCGGATTCTAATACATTATCAATGCATTTAAATACGCAAAAAAAGTAGTCAAATATTTTGTCGAGAAAATTTCGATCCACTCTCGATAAATATGTTTGTAGCTACACATTGAACTCTATATTGATTATCGGAAATTGTAGAGTACTTCTAAATATCACATAATCGAAGTCTATAGAATATACAATGACAAAACATATCTTTCATGAACGTGTATTAATCCATAATTCAAATATACAATTTGGTTTCAATCCTAAAAAAACAAGAACTAATTCGTCTTGAATAAAATAGAAACATTCATTTAATCAAAATTGTATTTTATGTCCAATATGTGAATGAAACCTTTCAAGAAAAACCGAGTAGATTTTATATTAAAATTTACTATAGATATTTTTATGAATCCATGTAAATAATTAATTTGATATTTTAAACGATTTTCGATAATTTAATTCTTTGATAAACAATCAATAAATATCATTTACTTAGTATATGTTAAATATTTATGCATCCTTCACTTCTATTCTTTTTTTCCTAATATATACTTCAAAAAACAGATTTTAGATTGATAGAAGAAGGTCACAATATTCTTAAGGACAAATAAAAACAAACGATCCAAATTATGGAAAAAGGACGACAGTAGACAGCAATCATATTTTTGTTTTGCATATACAACAGTATATTTATTTACTGCAAATGATTAACATGCACATTTGTAATTACACAGATTGTTATTAAACAATTTCTATTTATAATGTACATAATTATTATCTAAAATAATTAATAATTCATTATAATGAAAATTACAATTCAAAACCGTAAATTAAGATCGTATAACTTGAAAAATAAAAGATATTATGTATTATTTAATAAATAGATCTTAAATTGTTTCATAACAAGTAGACATGATTTTACCTTGCGGTTAGCAACAGAAAATAAAATAAAAAAAACTTTGCTTATTTCAACAACTGTTGCATCATGTATACAATTAATTGACTAGTCTCTTCTTCTTCTTCTTCTTCCCGCAAATCATCTGTTATTGTTATTTGTGTACGTTGTCGTCGTTTGGAGGTAGAGAGGGAGAAAGAAAGGAATAGATCACTTTGTATTTAGCCAGGCATTAGATGAGAAAGGAGCGAAAGAGAGGGGGAGGGAAAAATAGACTCTATTTGCAATTTGGCCGTTGTCTCCCGTGTACGAAAGAGCGTGCGTGAGCGTAAGCACATATATGCAAACCCTATGCAACTCGAAGAAAATGAAACCTTTTCCTTTACACTCTTTCTCTTTAACATGTGACGAGGAAAGACAATAATACAGATGTGCTCTTTTGTCATCATCACGTTTGACATACCAGGTGATCGAATTCAAGAATAAAAGGAAAGGTAATATTTCACTTTTCTATAGATTCAGATAATGAAAAAAAAAAATAATAAGGAAATAAAATAGAAAAGCGCATAAAGTTTAACATTTTAAGTTTTGTTGAATAATGAAAAGAATCAGATATATCAACTATCGTATATTATTCAAACATATTCAATGTCATGTTGCTTAGTCGATTTAAAAAAAAAAGCGAAGTTAATACATCATTTTTTAATCATATAATATTGATGAAAGTAATTCCTATAATCGATCATGTATTTCTTTCATAAAATGAAATGAATGGGTAATATAATGATAAAAACTCAATGCCAAATATGAAAGCTTAATATAAAACTATAATAAATAATTGAATTGATTCAAATAGAATATGTAAACATAAGGAAAACGTTCTTATGTGTGCCTTATTCGTATTGTACGCTTATCTAGGCATGTATACTTCCTGGAAGAAGAAATGCCGCCTTTTCTTTGAATACTAACACAGAAAAAATAGGAATGTATAGTATATGTTTCTCTCTCTGCTTGTTACTAAATAGTGTGCAACAACTATATAGTCGTGTAGATACAAAATATCGTCTCACCTACATGCGATCAGTTTTGTATTTATCTATGTATCTTTCTTATTGTTCTATTTCTCTTTCGTACTCATTCATTCGCTTTTAATCATATCTTGATGTGAAAATGTTTGCATATTGTACATGTGCATACGCATACTCAACCCGATTATCACTACTATAACTTCAATGACTAAGGCATGTAAGCGTATTTCGACTTCGTATTTGCGACGCTCATTTATATTTCATTAGATTTTTTTTCGATTTCATTTGTTCCTCACTCATACCCATTGATTGAATTCAACAAGCGACATCATCGAGAAAAACGTTAGCGTGCTCGTTCTTTTTTCTTTTCTTTTTACCTTTTTTTCTTCTTCATCTTTCTGTCTTTTCCTCTTTTCATTCATATTAAGCTACGTTTATGTGTTGAACTTTACTTCTTCTTTTTTTTTAATATTTTTTTATGTATTGCACATTTAATGTGCACCGAAGCGCATTCCTTTAAGAATATCAACGACTTTTATAATTAACTTAAAAAATCATTCAGTAAAGATTTAAATAAAAAAAAAATCCAACAATGATTACTATGGTAGTTAGTGATGCTGATGTTCATGAAAATGAAAATATTGAATTAACATACTGGCTTTACTATATGATGGTTTATTATATATCACAAATTATTTGTATCATTACTGTACGTATAAAGAAATAAATTTATATTTTTCAATTATATGGAAAATACACATATTTCAATTAATATATATTATTATACTTTTGTAAATGTATTTGCTTTTGACGACAGTCGTCGATACATGATTATGTTGGTTGTATGCTTGTTAACTGATAATAACGTGTTCTTCTTCAAACTATTCGTTTCGCTAGTAGATAAGTTGTTTTTTTTTTCTTGTTGATAATAATGATGCGCGAACTAGCGCAAGGAGGCTAGATGTTTATTGTCTGTATCGTCGTCGCCATCGTCATTTAGTAAGCACAGAAAAAAAAACGCGAGAATCCAGTAGACGCATAAGAAAAGAAGAAAAAAAAAAAGGAAAGATGAATGGATAGAAAGAAAGAGAAAAAAAAATCAAGGCTATTCTCTTATATTAGACGGCAAGACGAATGTTACGCGCACGTTTAGGATCAAGCAACAGGAGACTATGAGATCTTGAAGGACAACGTTACTTCAATATCATCATGTCAAAATAACGGGTGCATTTCTATGTTTGCTTCGTCTTACATCTACAACGACAAGTATATACATATTTAATAATAGTTATTCAACAGTATTATTATTATTGTTATATACTTTTATACAACTACTTCTTATTCACAAGAAAAAAAACCTACTATGCAGTTTTACTCACATTCCTATCCAACTACTAGCTATCGAGCTAGTGAAATTCCGTCTTCTACTCAGGTATGCGTCAAAAGGGTAGATGAGTAAATGAACTTTTGATAAGTATATATATATATACGTACATATATATATGTATATGTATGTACGTCCTAGAAATAATTTACTATGAAACATGAATCAGATAAGAAAACAATATATTCATATACGTATATTAAATATTTCAATTGACATTCTTTTTTTTTCTTCTTCCATAGGCCTTTCTCAATGTTCAACAGTACAAGCAACAAGAACAAGAGGCTGTTTCAACAACAACATCAACACTCGTTGGTATGAATGTAATGGGCCAATTGATTGACAAAGCTAAACGTGCTATTGTCATGAGAACAGTTAGTAATGAAAAACCGCAACAAGAACAAATACAACAAGAAAAAATTCATTATCAATCATCACAATCAAATGTAACAAAGTCAATATTACCCATTCGTATACAAGAACTTGAGGCTAAAATTGAACCTCGTCCAACAATCATTGATGAAAAAAGTCCAGCTGTTTTAAAATATCGAACACCACATTTTCGGTAATAAAAATTTCTACTTTTTTTTTTTAACTTATGAAAAGAAAGAAAACAAAAAAAAACCCTCTCTTTCTATTTTAATTAATAGAGCAACAGCTACAGTTAAATTTCCTCCGTTAGATGAAGGTGAACATTGGAAAATTGGCTGGATTCAATCGTGTAAACGTATGGATTTTTTTAATTCATATGGTGATTGTGGTTATTCAAGTTGGGAATTTCCTCAATTAATGTCTGGTCAAAATCCAATGATATCCGATTCTGATGGACGTAATTATCCATTTTATGGTTCAAAATCTGAAGTTATTGAAATTCAAGGACCATGTACAGATTATACAACACTTAAAGTTATTATGAACGATAATTTTTATCCTCATATAACATGGGATATTCCAACAAGTAATGAACGTTTAGCACGATTAACAAATGTAAAACGTCATCAAAGTTTTTATACATGGCTTGTTGCAATGAATGCTCGAAATGGCTCAATACTTGTACTTAAAACATTAAGTTGGCAAATGGATCTTGAAATAAATGTTGATCCAACAAAAGCTCCAGGTTCACGTGCAACACTTGTATCTGATCCAATACCAATTCAACCTGAAATCCTTAAACAAAATATTCGTATACCGACTTGTGTCCTTTATCCACCTAATGTAAGTCTTTTCTTTTGTTAAGGATTCTTTCCAGGTATATTTGACATTGATCATCCATATAATGATCATTATTTTCAGGGCTTATTTTATTAATTTTTCATTTTTTCTTTCAGGCTAACAGTGCTCAAATACTTGTTTGGCATCCAGGTTGTCGTCTTGGTGAAACAAGTAAACGACCTGAAATAGTTGTACCGCCAAGATGTATGCTTGTCTTATTACAAAATCCATTCTATGCTAATCATATACGACATAAAACACATACATCTATTCAAAATAAACTTAATAGTGGAAGTTCATCATCATCTTCACCGTCTCCCTCATCTTCACCTTCATCATCATCATCTTCATCAGAGAGTAGGATGAATGTATCACAATCCTTAACAATAAAACCTTATTCTCGTCTTATATTTCCACAAGCTGCTGGTCCATCATTAGCATCATCATGTACTATAACGCCTGGTAATCGTTGTTATAATGGTATGAAACATATTCTAAATAATCATGCAAAATTTGCTCAGGGCGTTATGGTTCGCTAGTCGATCTATTATTACATATGTACAGATAAAGACACTATATGTGTATGTGTTATTTGCTCATTGAAGATATACAGTGAGAAATTGAACGTTAAAAAATTGATATTATATCTAAAATATTTTTGCTATTGTTCTTCTTGTAAAATGAGTGATGAATTTTTAATTTGTTTCACTCATATTAATTTCTTGTATTCTAACTTCTCGGAAATTTATGATTTCTTTTTTTTTCCCGCATGTTTTTAAGTGTTTTTTTTCTGTATCCGAGGAGTGTGAAACAGAAAGGAAGAGCAGATAATTCATTCAAGAAGAAAACCTGTGGTGCTATATGTCTATATTGATTCTTTTTAAAAATATATATAGCTTGTCAATTGATATTTTCTGTTGTTGTTATTGTCATTAAAAAGAAACAAGGTAAACTTAATTATTTAGGAAAAAAAAATATAAACCACATTTTGATTAAAAAATGAAACGAAAAGAAAAAAAGAGAAAGGTTATAAATCTCAGAATTAAGTGAATTGGTATTAATCTTGAAAGAATAGCCATGATATTTTGTCTGTGATATTTCAAATGTTAATTTATATTATTTTGAAAAAAAAAATGTCATGATGGTTTTTTAATGATCTGTACAAATTTATCAAAGTTATAACAAAGAAATGAAAAAAATGATTGATGTATTTTTCTATAACAAGTAAAAAGATTTCTATTAATAAACATTCAATTTTTCATTTGTAATGTCTTAGAATGTGATACTGTTGATCTCGATAAACAAGAGAGTCAGTTTAGCTTTCTTGTTTGAAACTTCAAAAATGTTCATCAACATTAATGCTTTAGAAAAGCTGTAATCTAATATGTAGTATTATATTGATAATCTACATGTTCTAAAGAATGGAATGCAGATTGGAAATATAATCAATCTTGTTTTGGATATAAGAAAAAAAATTCTATTCAAATAACATGTATTACATAAGATATCAAGTTTCAATCAAAATAACGAAATCGAAAAAAAAAATATCAACAGTGTCAGATTAGAAACAAGAAAAAAAAGCACAGTAAAGATTTATTAATAATTCAATGGCACGAAAATATCTTATTACTAGAAACTAGTAATGAGTTTCGAATGAAATGTACGTGTAGATAAATTTTGTTCAAATAATGTTTACTATTGCTATTTTATCATGAAAACGTAATCAATAGGAATACTTCTGTAAAAAAAAACAATAATTTTATTGATGAATATCGCTGTAATGATAAGAAAAATGGTTAACAAGACAAGTCTCCCAAAGGATAAATTTCTTATGAGCTGTGACGATAGGCATCATGTAAATTCTAATGAGGCATGAATATCATAACAACAGCTCGTGTTCTTGGCTTATTTCCAGCAGTGATCCGATTTGGGAGTTTAACATCCCCAATCATGGAGAATTTTAATTTTTTCCCAGCAAAGCTGAAATTTTCTTTTGGCATTCTTCCTCACTTGCAAAAATTCATTAAACGACCTCCATGTTGGCTGCTTCGGCTCCCTACAACTTATTACTGTGAAGGCACCATACTTTTACGGTAGTCTTTCAATAAATATCGTGGTCCTCCCAGAGACACCAGAAAAAACTGATTTTTAAATTTCGATTTTGAATATTGCATGGAAACAAAGTTTAATGAGAATAATTTATTGTCAAGGTTTCAAAACTTTTCGTTTTTTCTATCAGAAGATATATCTATGGTGAAAGTGTGTCTTTTACATTGCTCATAAACACTGGTAGATTCAATACACTTATTTCAGAATAAGAGCAAATCACAAGACTTAAAACTTCCACAATAAACAACTCTCGTTAAAATTTTTCTCTTTGCAAACTTTCAAGGCGAAATTCAAAAATCAATTTTTTTTGATATTTCTGAAGAGAGTCATGGCATTCATTTATAAAACTAACGTAAAAAAGTGCATTATTTCTGCACCAATAATCTAAGAGTCCGAACATTGTTCAGAATATTCATAGCGTAATAGGCTTCATTTTGATGCACATAGGCTTGATTCAAAAATGATTAATCAGTTGAAGGACTTCTCTCGTCCGAAGCAATTCTTATCAGTAATGTGTCTTTTTTTCTGTTCTCTTTCATTCATTGAAAAAAGTTTCTTTTTGATGATATACTGTAATAATAACATAATAAAACTTTTGATGCATATTTTATTCACGGTAATAGTTTCATACATTTTTTTCATAGACATCGCTGTTATAAATTGTTGAACTCTAAATATTCTTTTGCATAGGCAGAATCATAAACTTGAAAAGTTAAAAGAGATCAGACACTTCTACATCATTCATGTAATATTCAATGATATTTTTCACAAAGTACGATGAAAAAAAAATAAGGGTATACTAGAACAATATCTAGTAAAGAAAAATACCCATTTTAAAACTTTTTATCGATAAGATCCGACAGAGATAAATGGTATCAAATATGGATAAACTATTGTGTTGACAGGATGAAATTTTCTTTTATAAACAATAATATATTATATGTGTTACAGAGATTAAAAGAAAGAAACTATTCAAAAAGTATTTATCCGATTTATTACCTTGATGGTAAAATATAATATTCTTCATCAGTATTGTTTTTATTTTTAAATATTAATAATTACTTATGTTATATATTTCGTTAAAAATCATCGTAATCGTAAGAAATAGTTTTGCTTTAAAAGCATTATTAAAAAGCAATTCTTTTTTTTTTTTGGATGACTTTTTAATTAAAACAATAAAATAAACAAATGATAATATCAAAACCGTGTGTTTTATTATTTCAATAGAAAGTTGACATTTGATTTTATAACAAACTCTATTATACCGACTCTTTCATTAGAGCATATAATAAAAAAAATATGTTCGTATATTTTATTTGATCATATGTTTGTTATTTTATCAAGAATAATATTCTGTTATTCTTTAGAGACGATTCATAGAACAGGTCAATCAACAGTTGCATGATTATATCATGACTTCCAGATGCAATACTAAACTTTGACATAAAATCTTATCACAAATAAAGAACTATGAGAATCAACAGGATAGATAAGAAAGAAAGCTTTTCAAAAAAGAAGTAATATTTGACTGAAGACAAGCTTGTTTAAAATAGAAAACCAAATAAAAAAAAATTCTAACATACAATGTATCGAATAAGAAAGGACAAAGATCTAGAAAACAAGACAGATGTGATAAAAGATCTTTATATAAACATGAATATAGATAATGAAGACAATGACATAAGTCTCTAGAAGAAAATATACTGTTGATAGCTTACTTTCCAAAAAAAAATGCTTCTCAAAGACAAACAAAGGAAATTTATTTTACTAATTAAACATTTCAATCCATGAAATAGCGGCATCTCCCGTTTTCACTTATATTGGCCAAAACGGTAACTGCATCAGTACATGCAATCAATCGTCATTGCATTGCATTGCATCGCATCGGTCTCATATACCCATACATTATTTATTCAGTTCTTTTTTCTATTCTGTTTGCCTGATTATTAAACAGTAAAACGGCTGAATGATGCTCTCATCATTATCATACTATTCTTTGCTTTTCTTTAATCGAACACTTATGTATGTATTCATAAAGATCATTCCTTTTACTATTTATTCTACACGGATTTTTAATTTTCTGCATTAATATATATCAGATACTACTCTTGATTAGTCATTCATTCATTTGGAAGACACATTAGTATCGCAATAATGACTTTTGAATAGCTTCTGTAATACTAAATAGTAATAGTACCAGCTGCTATAATTGATTTTATCCTAAACAAATACGATGGCTAGAACTCCTGACAACGTTCTTACATTTATATCTTTGTACATATTTGATAATACTAAGCTGAGCTGAGAAAGATTTTATTACATTTAGTTGGTTATTGTTGTTTTGTCATTGTTCGTGCCTTGAGAAGTAATGATGAAGTAGAACAATTCATTTCTGTAATGATCGACAGTTGACAGTTGTATATAGAAGAGAAGAACATTCATCTTGCCTTCGAGTTCACTTCAGAATTTCCGAAAGTTACATCATATTGATGATGGGATGATGAAGCTGGACCTGTTTATGTTCATTTACATTGTTATCTATTCTCTTTCTTCTTCTTTTTTCTAATCTATGTATATACGTACAATATTCTTTTAATGTATACCGAGTTTTTCTTTCTTATTCTTATAATGAAAGATGTATGAATGTATGAAAGAACATCTTGCATAGATTTCTCATGTCAATGCATACGAAACATATGACAACAATCAGCTTGCAGCACAAGATTTGAGCTATTCGAGATGAGACAAGAAGCATGCATACTTACGCGTGCATATAGATAGTGATGGATGAAAAAATTGTCTCACTAACAGCATTATGGCATGTGCGTGCAGTCGCAAAGATGAATACAATTAAGAAAATCTATACTGTTCTCATGCTAAGTGAGTCTTTATAGCTCTCTCTATTAAGCATTTTAACAAGCTAATTCTTCATTTTGATCCTCTCTTTACATATGACAATGAAAGTATGAAGTATCATAGAATTCAGTTTTTTCTTGTTATACTAACAATCTTTTTCTCTTTTCCTTTCACATATGCATCGAGAATATGTATAATATCTAATAGTAGCCTTAAAAAAAAAGGGCAAACCACTTTTTATATCTCCAATATAATATCTTTCTCACGTATGAATATATGTATATATACGTGAAAAAATGCCATTAACTTCATTTGTCCTTCGATTTTTTCTCTCTTATCTTTTTAGCATAAACATTGAAAGCATCTGTGTCACATTTCATCTATCCAAATGACGATTATATTGTGAATAGAATTTATTTCAATAAAAAAGATGCTCTATCGATCGATAATATTTGATGGGCAATAAAAATTCTTCATCACATTTAACAAATAATCAAAGTAAACGTTCTTTTCATCAACAAAAATCAAATTATTATATAACAAATAACGACCATATTTATTCTAAATTTGATAC